AGTGGGGTTCAGAACCCAACTGTAGAGTTGCGACTAGTTAGTGGGGTTTAGGACCCAACTGGAGAGGTGAGATGGGTGAGTGAGGTTGGGAAAGAAACTATAGAGGTGAGATGGGTGGGTGGTGTTCGGAACCCAACTATAGACGTGAAACGGGTGAGTGGGGTTCAGAACCCAGCAGTTGAGGCGAAATGGTTGAGTTTGGGTTCAGAACTCAACAGTGAAGGTGAAACGGGTTAGTGGGGTTCAGAACCCAACTAGAGAGCTTTTACGGTGGGTGAGGTTTAGAACCAACAGTAGAGGTGAGACGTTTTAGTGGGAATCAGAACCCAACTGCAGAGGTGAGACGAGTGAGTGGGGTTAACAACCCAACTGCAGAAGTGAGACGAGTGAGTGGGGTCCAAAACCCAATTGCAAAGGTGAGTCGAGTGAATGGGGTTCAAAACCCAACAGCGGAGGTGAGACAGGAGAGTGGGGTTTAGGACCCAACTGTAGCAGTGAGACGAGTGGGTGGGGTTTGGAACCCCACTGGAGAGGTGAAACAGGTGAGTGGGGTTCAGAATCCAAGAGAAGGGGTTTCCGGGTGAGTGGGATTCAGAACCCAACTGTAGAGGTGAGACGGATGGGTGGGGTTCGTAACCCAATTGTAGAGGTGAGACGGGTTAGTGGGATTAAGAACCCAACTATAGAGATGAGACGGTTGAGTGGGGTTCAACCTGAACTGGAGAGGTGAGACGGGTGAGTTGGGATCAGGACCCAACTGCAGAGGTGAGATGGGTGAGTGGGGTTTTGAACCTAAGGTGAGACGGGTGGGTGGGGTTAAGAACCCAACAGTAGAGGTGATACGGGTGAGTGGAGTTTTAGAACCCAATTGCAGAGTTGACACGAAAGTGTGGGGTTCAGAACCCAACAGTAGAGGTGAGACGGGTGAGTGGAGTTCAGAACCAAACAGTGGAGGTGAGCAGGTGAGTGGGGTTCAGAACTCAACTGTAAGAGGTGAGATGAGAGGGTGGGGTTTGGAACCCAGTGTAGAGGTGAAACTGGTAAATGGGGTTCATAACCAACGGTAGAGGTGAGACGGGTGAGTGGGGTTAAGAACCCCACAGTAGAGGTGATACGGGTGAGTGGGATTTAGAACCCAACTGTAGAGGTGAGACGGGTGAGTGGGGTTCAGAACCCAACTGTAGAGGTGAGTGGGTTAGTGGGGTTCAGAACCCAACGGTAGAGGTGAGTCGCGTGGGTGGGGTTCGGAACCCAACTGTAGAGTGAGACGGGTGACTGGGGTTCCCTAAGCAACATTAGAGGTGAGACGGGTTAGTGGGGTTCAAAACCCAACTGTAGAGGTGAGACGAGTGGGTGGGGTTTGGAACCCAGTGGAGAGGTGAAATGGGTGAGTGGGGTTCAAAACCCAACTGTAGATGTGAGACGGGTTAGTGGGGTTCAAAACCAACGGTAGAGGTGAGATGGGTGAGAGGGTTCAGAACCCAAGAGTAGAGGTGATACGGGTGAGTGGAGTTCAGAACCCAACAGCAGAGGTGAGTCGGGTGAGTTGGGTTCAAAACCTAACTGTAATAGGTTAGACGGTTGAGTGGGGTTCAGAACCCAACAAAAGTGGTGAGGCGGGTGAGTGGGGTTCAGAAGCCAACTGCAGAGGTGAAATGTGTGCGTGGGGCTGAGAAGCCAACTGCAGACGTGAGACGGGTGAGTGGGGTTCAGATCCCAACAGTAAGGTGAGACGGGTGGGTGGGGTTCGGAATCGAACTGTAGGGGTGAGACGGGTTAGTGGGGTTCCCAAAACAACAGTAGAGGTGAGACGGGTGAGTGGGTTTCAAAACTGAACAGGAAGAGGTGAGATGGGTGAGTGAGGATCAGAACACAACTGCAGAGGTTAGACGGGTGAGTGGGGTTTTGAACCCAACAGCAAAGGTGAGACGGGTAAGTGCGGTTCAGAACCCAACTATTGAGGTGAGACGAGTGAGTGGGGTATAGGACCCAATTGGAAAGGTGAATCGGGTGAGTGGGGTTCAGAACCCAACTGTAGAGGTGAGACGGGTGGGTGGGTTCGGAACACCACTGTAGAGGTGAGACGGGTGAGTGGGGTTCAGAACCCAACAGTCGAGGTGATACGGGTGAGTGGAGTTCAGAACCCAACAGCAGAGGTGAGTTGGGTGAGTGGGGTTTAGAACCCAACTGTAGAGGTGAGACGGGTGAGTGGGGTTTAGAACCAAATAGTAGAGGTGAGCGGGTAAGTGGGGTTTAGAACCTAACGGTAGAAGTGAGACGGGTGAGTGGGGTTAAGAGCCCAACAGTAGAGGTGAGATGAGTGAGTGGGGTTCAAGACCCAACTGGAGATGTGAGAGGGTGAGTGGAGTTCCGAACCCAACTGCAGAGGTGAGACTTGTTAATGGGGTTCACAACCCAACTCTTGAGGTGTGACGGCTGAGTGGGGTTCAAGGCCCAACTGGAGAGGTGAGACAGGTGAGTGGGGTTCAAAACCCCATAGTATAGGGTTAGACGGGTGAGTGAGGTTCACAACCGAACTGGAGAGGTGAAATGGATGAGTGGGGTTCAGAAACCAACTGCAGAGATGAGACGGTGTGTGGGGTTCGGAACCCAATTGTAAAGGTGAGACGGTTGAGTGGGGTTGAAGACCCAACAGGAGATGTGAGACGGGTGAGTGGGGTTCAGAAGCCAACAGCAGAGGTGAGACTGATGGGTTTGGTTCGGAACCCAATTGTAGAATTGCTAAATATCCCCTACTTTCCTGAATCTCTCCTACCTTGCCAAATCACCCCCTTGCAGAACTCCCTCTTCCTTGCATAATCACCCCTACCTTGATTAATCATCCCTACCTTGCTGGAGTCACCTCTACATTGCTGAATCTCGTCTATCTTGTTGGACACCCCCATACTTGATTAATCACCCCCTATCTGGCTGAATCCCCCTACCTTGCTGAATCCCCCCACCTTTCTGAATCATCCCTACCTTGCATAATTATGCCTACCTTGCTGAGTTCCCCCTTACCTTTTTAAAGCACTCCTACCTTGCTTAGTCTCGCATAGTATGATGAAGAACCCCCACCTAGCATTAATCACCCCTACCTGTCTGAATTCCCCCTCTCTTGCGAATCCTCCCTACCTTGCTGAATTTTCCCTATCTTACTGAAACTCTCCTACCTTGCTGAATTTTCAGTACCTTGCTTAATCACCCCTACCTTGCTCAATCACCCCTACCTTGCTGAATCCCCCCTACCTTGCTGAATTCTCCCTATCTTGCTGAATCCCCCTACCTTGCTTAATCACCCCTACCTTGCTAATTATCACTATCTTGCTGAATCATCCCTACCTTCTCAATCACACCTACCTTGATTAATCACCCCTACCTTGCTTAATCACCCTTATCTTGCTGAATCCCCCTGCCTTGCTGAATCCTCCCATCCGTATTGAATCAACCCTACCTTGCTGAATTCCCCTACCTTGCTGAATTCCCACCTCCTTGCTGAATTCCCTGTTCCTTGCTTAATCACCCTATCATTCCTACCTTGTTGAGTCAATGCTACACTGCTGAATCCCTCCTAACTTGCTGAATCATTCCTACCTTGCTTTATCACCCTAAATTGCTCCATCCCCCCTATCTCACTGAATCTACCCTAATCTTGCTGAGTTCTCTTCCTCTGTCTGAATCCCCCCTCCCTGTCTGATTTACTCCGACCTTTATTTATCGTCCCTACCTTGCTGAATTACCACCACGCTGCTTAAGCAACCCTCTCTTGCTAAATCACACCTACCTTGCATAATCACCCTTATCTTGCTGAATTCCCCCTGCCTTGCTGAATCCCCCCTGCCTTGCTGAATCCCCCATCTGTATTGAATCAACCCTACCTTGCTGAATTCCCCCTACCTTGCTGGATTCTCGCTACCATGACGAATCCCCGCTACCTCCTGAATCACCCCTACCTTGCTGGATTTCTCCCTATATTTTTTAGTCGTCCCTTTCTTTCTGAATCTCCCCTCCCTTTCTGAATCACCCCTACCTTTATTAATCATCCCTACCTTGCTGAATTCCCACTACGTTGCTTAGTCAACCCTAACTTGCTGAATCACCCCTACCTTGCTTAATCACCCCTACCTTGCTGCATTCTCACTACCTTGCTAAATTTCCCCTTCCTTTTCTAATCACTCCTACCTTGCATAATGACCCCTACCTTGATTAATCAGCCCTATATTAATCACACGAAATTTGCAGAATTTCCCTTATATTGCTGAATCTACCATACCCTGCTAAGTTCTCTCTATCTTGCTGAATCTCTTCTTCCTTGCTGAATCAACCCTACCTTGCTTCATCGACCCTACCTTGCTCAGTCGGCCATACCTTGCTCAATCAAACCTACCTTGCAGAATTCCCACCCTCTAGCTGAATTCCATCTACCTTCCTTGCTTAATCACCCCTTTCTTGCTGAATCCCCCCTCCCTTGCTGAATATCCTATTCCTTGCTTAATCACCCCTACCTACTCCCTATCTTGCTGACTTCCCACCTCTTGCTTAGTCACCCTCACATTGATTGATCATCCCGATGATGCTTAATCATCCCTACCTTGCTGAATTGTCCCTTGCTTGATGAATCATCCCTCCCTTTCTTAATCACCCCTACCTTGCTTAATCACCCCTACCTTGCTAAATCACTCCTACCTTGCTTATTCACCCCCACCTTACTTAATCACCCCTACCTTTCTGATCCCCACCCTCTTGCTGAATTCCCTCTTCCTTGCTTAAACACCCCTACCTGGATTAATCATCCCTAACTTACAGAGTAACCGCTACATTGCTGAATCCCCCCTCTCTTGCTGAATCTCTCCTACCTTTTTGATCCCCCCTTCCTTGCTGAATCATCCTACCTTGCTTAATCACGCCAAAGATTGTTGTGTGATGTCATCATATGCTATCACATTCTGTCTGCCTCCATCTCTGTTTCAATTCGTATGTATGGTTTGACTGTGGTGAAAGAATTTGTGTGTGGTGTGTTCTGGAGTTTGGGAATGTGTTTTGTGTTATTCTGTCTGAGCAGGTATTTGTGAGGATAGATCTTGAGAAGATCTTTCCGACGCAACGAGAATCGCTTCAATCGGAGCAAGAACGCGAAAGCTATGAAGATTCAAAGTTCATGAGCTTGCGTTACAATTGCGGCGGTTACAAAGTGAAGTTGTGGGGTGACTTTATATGGAGTTGGGACCTTTGGGGTTGGGGAAACTTGTCACTCTACTGTAACAGCTGCAAATAGGTTGGGAACAACCAAGCTAGGTTGGCAAGGGTGGCCAACTTGGATGGATTGGTTGGGAAGGGACAAAGGTCAAAGTTGAGGTTCCTATAGGGAGGGAATCTTTGTGCTTATGGGGTTTCCTTGGTTGGGGACTCTCTTGGGACCTTCCCTCTCATCCCTCTCTTCCTATCCCAACCTTTCTCTTGCTCCTTCTTATTCCTTGTGAGATTCTTGAACTTTGATTGAACTTTTGAGATTGAGTTAAGTTCTCCTCCTACAGCTTACCCCCTAATGCGTCGAAAGCCATAGCGTCGCGAATACTTCATCAATCAACATGATTCAAATTGGGAACGGTAGCTGAGATTAAGAGCTACAACATATCCAAGTTTCGCGACATTCCAACGGCTAGTTTTCTGTCGACGTCGTTTCTTGTGAAGACGACTTTTCTGTCCAGAATTTCGGATTTATATTTTGAGTAATTCTAGCTCCTAAGTTCACCTAGACTCCGTCCTTAATCCTAACAAGTGGTATCAGAGCTGTATTAAGGACGTTGAGAGGAGTCTACAGAAGTGTGAAGACCCTTCTGGACCCACCATGGCCTGTGGGTGTGCCTAAGTGGTGTTCTAAAGGTTGGATGTGTCTTCCGCTAAGGGGAAACTCTGCCGAAATTTCGTGGACGCCGACACTTGTGAAAATATCGAGGGAGCTGAGTGTGGACAGCAAAGGGGAGCTGAAATTCGTCATTTCTCAAGGAGAAGATGAATGAGAGAGGAGGAGATGCTAATGGAAGAGGAGCTGTAGCTGAGAAGACAAGTGAGCCGCCGCCATCAAAAAGTTGAAGCTTTGGATGGCTCCAACTATGAGGAATGGAGCGGACGGATGAGGAGTGCCTTCAAACGCTACAAGCTCCTGAAGATTGCTGTTGGGGAAGAGAAGATGCCGGAAGAAGGCGAAGCACGTGAACGGTGGATTGAGAAAAGCGCGGTGCTTTTCGACCTCATTCTTCAATCGGTCAACAAGGAGATGTTCGAGCACATCAAGGATCTTGTGGAAGCGGATGATTCGGGTCCAAGGGCGTGGAAACTACTACGTGATGTGGTTCAGCCCAACACTCTCCCGATGGTGATCGTGCTCGAGAAGGAACTTGCTGCCATCTCCATGCGACCAGGGGATGATGTGAAGCCGGTCCTTGACAAGATCAAGGACACCTATGCAAGGATGGCAGCAGCGGGCAGCAGTGTATCTCAGCTGCAGCAGTGCACCAAGATCATCTCGGTGTTGGACAACTCTTGGGACAACCTCATCCCCACCCTCAACTCTCAGCAAGATCAATGGACACCTGAGTGGCTAAGGCAGCAGATTCTGCAGGAGGACTTCCGCAGACGCCATGTGGGAGGCGGTGCTGCCACTAAGACTGCTGAGGGGTATGGAGCTGCAGGGCGCGGCAAAGGAAGAGGGGGTTGGAGAGGCCGAGGCCGTGGGAGGAGCTTTGGCAGAGGTAGAGGCCGAGGTGACTATAATGAGGGGCATGGAAGCTCCAGTGGCAGGGGGAGTACCAGAATGGAGGGCACCTGCTGGTACTGCAAGAAGATAGGGCATCCTTGGTTCAAGTGCTTCAGCAGGCCGGAGGGATGGGCACCTCCAGGCATGAAGCCGCCCAGTGGTGAACGCGCACAAGGTGGCGCTGTGCAAGGCTCAGGTGCACAAGGTGAAGGTGCACAAGGTAACGCCTATCCTGGGATGTATCTCATGGTTGAGGATGTGCATGGGCATGAGGGTGATGTGGGATCTGTCGGAAAGGTTGTGATGCACCCTCTCACGCACTGGGTGATTGATTCGGGTTGCACCAGTCACATGACTCCACGGGCAGATTTGCTTGATGAGGTAAAACCCCCTGGGAAGATCAAGTATGTGGCAGCAGCGTCAGGTGCTTTGCTCCCTGTGATTGGTGTTGGGAATGCCAAGGTTAAGGGAGCTAATGGGGAGCTTGTGGGGCTTGGGAATGTTCTGCTGGTTGAAGGTTTGTCTGCTAACCTTCTCTCTGTGCGACGACTGCAGAAGAGCAAGGCCGAAGTGACCTTTGGACCAACCAGCTGCCGTGCTAAGCTTGGGAAGAAGGTGCTGTGGAGTCTGGAAGAGGAGACCAGCTGCATCAAGGACCTGTGGCAGCTGCCCATCATCCCTTGGAATGGGAAGACTCCAACAGCAGCAACGGCAGCAGCGGCAAAGGCAACAGCAGGAGGAGATGCAACTGCACCAACTGATGGGGTCCTGGAAGCAGTCAAGAAAGTGCAGAAGCAGCAGACACATGGTGAGGTGCTTGCTGGTGTGGATGCGAGTGCGGCATGGGCTAAGGCTTCATCAAGGAGTGGTGAGGCCGATTGGGAGACATGGCATGAGAGGCTGTGTCATGTGAACTTTCCTATGCTGCAGAAGTTGGTAAAGGATGGGAGCCTGAAAGGCTTGGAGGTGAAAGGGGGAGTGAAGGAGATTGGGAGCTGCCCTACATGCTTGGAGACCAAGTTCTCCAAGTTCCCCTTCAACAGCACTACAGGACCAGCCAAGACCCCACTTGCACTTGTGCACATGGATGTGGTGGGGCCCACAAGAGCCCCTTCCCTCTCAGGCAGCCGCTATTTCTTGACAATTGTGGATGACCACACTCGGGCAGTGTGGGTTTACCCTTTGAAGAGCAAGGGGGAGGTGGCAGCGGCTGTCCTTAAGGAGTGGATGCCTAGAGCTCAGAGGGAATGCGGACACAAGGTGAAGGTGATCCGTAGTGACAATGGTGGGGAGTTCATTGGAGCTGATTTTGAGGGGGAGTTGAAGAGGAAGGGGATCCAGCATCAACTGACAGTGCCCTACAACCCGCAGCAGAATGGCGTGGCTGAGAGGTTCAACAGGACCCTGCAGGAGGGGGCACGCACTCTCCTTGGGCGTGCAGGGCTGCCTGATCCGTTTTGGGTGTCTGCACTGAGGCAGGTCGCCCTTGTGAAGAACAGGGTGCTGGCTACAGTTGGGGATAAGGAGTGGATCCCATATACCAAGTGGTATGGGAGTGCTCCAGCTGTGAACATGCTGAGGGCATTTGGGTGCATGGTGGTGTTTCATGTGCCTAAGGAGAAAAGGGGGAAGTTGGAGGCTTCTGGAAGATGGGGTGTGCACTTGGGGATTGCAAAGGATCACAAGGGGTGGCTGCTATGGGACTTGACCACCCAGAAGCTGACAGTGTCAAGGGATGTGAAGTTTCTTGAGTCCCTGTACTACAAGGAATGGAAGCAGCAGCAACAGAAGCTTCCATCTACACCGCTCATTGTGGAGGCAGATGAGGTGCAGCGGCCTCCAAGACAGGTGGAGGTTGCAGTGTCTGAAGAGGAGATGTCTGGGGTGACTGAGGAAGGGGGAGCAGCTGAAGTAGAGCAGCAGCAGCAGCATGAGTCTCCACTTCGAGTTCCACACCCGCCTGAGCGACCTAGGAGGGATGTGCGCCCTCCGGTGAGGCTAACCTATGGGGGAAGAGGCAAGCCGAATGTGGTGCAGGCTGGGAGTGTGGTTGAGCAGATTGAGGAAGATGAGATTGCATTATGCTATTGGGCTGCAATTCCTCAGCCCAAGGTACTGACGCTAGCTTCAACTCAGTGAAAGCGGATGGCACCAGCATTGGGGGTTATGTGTGCTTGCTAGGAGGTGGTGCTGTGAGCTGGCGCAGCAAGAAGCAGAATGAGGTGGGATTCTCCTCATGTGAGACTGAGTACATGGCCTTACACCATGAGGCCAAGGAAGTAGTGTGGCTAAGGCGTTTGTTGGAGGAGTTGGGAGTTGGTCAGGAGGAGCCGACAGTTGTGTTTTGTGACAATGAGTCCGCTGTGAAGCTCGCCAAGAATGCTTGTCTGCATGGGCTGACAAAACACATAAGGCCTAAGTGGCACTGGGTGAGGAGACTCCTTGATAAGGAGGTGCGGCTGGAGATAGTGAAGACCCATCAGCAGGCAGCAGATATTTTCACCAAGCTTCTGGCGGAGGCGGATCATTGGAAGGGCATGAAGCTTGCTGGGATGAGTGTGCATTGAGTATGCATGCTTGAGATGTTGGTATGGTGGATGATGGTTGGCAGCCAGAGGGGGAGATTGTTGTGTGATGTCATCATATGCTATCACATTCTGTCTGCCTCCCATCTCTTGTTTCAATTCGTATGTATGGTTTGACTGTGTGTGAAAGAATTTGTGTGTGGTGTGTTCTGGAGTTTGGGAATGTGTTTTGTGTTATTCTGTCTGAGCAGGTATTTGTGAGGATAGATCTTGAGAAGATCTTTCCGACGCAACGAGAATCGCTTCAATCGGAGCAAGAACGCGAAAGCTATGAAGATTCAAAGTTCATGAGCTTGCGTTACAATTGCGGCGGTTACAAAGTGAAGTTGTGGGGTGACTTTATATGGAGTTGGGACCTTTGGGGTTGGGGAAACTTGTCACTCTACTGTAACAGCTGCAAATAGGTTGGGAACAACCAAGCTAGGTTGGCAAGGGTGGCCAACTTGGATGGATTGGTTGGGAAGGGACAAAGGTCAAAGTTGAGGTTCCTATAGGGAGGGAATCTTTGTGCTTATGGGGTTTCCTTGGTTGGGGACTCTCTTGGGACCTTCCCTCTCATCCCTCTCTTCCTATCCCAACCTTTCTCTTGCTCCTTCTTATTCCTTGTGAGATTCTTGAACTTTGATTGAACTTTTGAGATTGAGTTAAGTTCTCCTCCTACAGCTTACCCCCTAATGCGTCGAAAGCCATAGCGTCGCGAATACTTCATCAATCAACATGATTCAAATTGGGAACGGTAGCTGAGATTAAGAGCTACAACATATCCAAGTTTCGCGACATTCCAACGGCTAGTTTTCTGTCGACGTCGTTTCTTGTGAAGACGACTTTTCTGTCCAGAATTTCGGATTTATATTTTGAGTAATTCTAGCTCCTAAGTTCACCTAGACTCCGTCCTTAATCCTAACAAAGGGGAAAACCGAGGAAGACGCAGGGAAGGGTGCGGGCAGTGAGCTTGTCCATGCCGGAGGCATGGACGTGAGCAAGGCAGCCCCAGACGTGGAACGCAGACGCGTCACCAGGAGACCCAGTCCAAAGACGGGTCGGTGAAACCTGCGGCTGCTGAGGGTGCGGCCACAGGTTAAGCTGGTGAGAAGCGTAGTGCACAGTGAACGGCCACAGAAAATGGGGTGCACCGGCATGGATCATGGAAGTGCGAGCGACCTCCATGACCAAACCGATGCGTCGCTCAGCGACCCCATTCTGCTGTGGGGAGTCCGGTAGGGTGAACGTCTGGGTGATGCCCTCCGCACGACAAAAACGACCAAGGACACCGGAGGCAAACTCGCCACCACGGTCTGAGTGAAGACGCAAGACAGGGAGACCGCGGTGGACACGCGCAGAGACAAGCCAGGGGATGAGGGCGCCAGCCACGTCGGCCTTGCGCTCCAGTGGAAAGACTGTGGTGTAACAAGTGAAGTCGTCGACAAGCACAAGGAAGTAGCGCTCTCGACGCGGCCCAGGGACGGGGGCGGGGCCCCAGACGTCCAGGTGCAGGGTCTGCAGCGGCGCGGCGGTAGGGGGAAACGAGGAGGAGTGAGGGGCACGGCGAAGCCGACCCTCGACACAAGGCGTGCAAGGTGGGGCTGGAGAAGAGGGAAACGCGGGGAGCGAACCTGGGAGACCAAGGACGAGACCGTGCTGGGACATGTGACGCAGACGCGGGAGCGCAGGGTGACCTAGGCGGTGGTGCCACAGGAGGGTCGGGTGAGTGAGGGAGCGACAGGAGCAGGCAGCAGCAACCTGGGTAGACGCAGCCACCTGAGGGGGCGCTCCAGCCGGGGGGGTCGCGGTGTCCAGAGTGAACAGGCCGGACACCGGGTCCCGGGGGAACGTGGACAGGGGGGCACCAGTGGCGGCCTCGGTACAGACAGCATACCGCTCGTGGCCAGGGAACGTAGTGGTGACGCCAAGGTCCTGGAGGCAGCCGACACCAACTAGGTTCCTGGAGAACGAGGGGATATGCAGACCTGTAAGAGAACCCGAAGGAACCGCTGGACAGGGAAGGGTGGTGGAACTGTGGGCGACTACCGGACCGCCGGAGGGGTCAGCAAGAGAAACGGCAGCAGGAACAGGAAGTGGCGTCAGGGTGGTGGAGTCGCGGAAGAAACACCGAGAGGCGCCAGAGTCCAGGGTGAAGGACAGCGAAGCCGAGGGGTCTGGCGACGGAACGACGGCGGAAGCACCAAGACTACACAAAGCAGGGGATCCTACGCCTGACGCAGCAGGGGAGGCTAAGCTAGGCACACCTACACTAGGCAACAGTGAGTAATAAGCGGGAAGCACACTAGAGTCATCAGCATACATCACATGCAGAGCGGAAACAATGGCATCCATGTCCATATCAAAAATCTGAATCTGACGACTAAGCAAACTGTGCCAGTCCGGGAGGTCTGGCGACGGGCCGAAGCGCTGACGAAAGAGGTCGTCCAGGCGACGAAAACAGCGGGGAGTGGAGTGACCGATCTTACCGCAAACGAAGCCGCGGCGAGGACCGGTCTGGATCTGGTACTGACAACGCCCGCCGCCAGAGCCACCACGCGGCACACCACCACGCGCCCAGCCATCGCCAGCGCCGGGCCACCCTGGCGGAAGGTTACTCCGCTGCCGCGTCTGCGGCGGCTGCTGCGGCTGCTGCGAAGGCTGCGACTGCGGCGGCTGCTGCGGCTGCTGCACCTGCAGGGGCGGCGACTCAGCTGAACTGGGCAGGGTCCCCTCGTCCACTCCAGCACCAGGCGACCCGACCCCACCACTACCCCCGCCCGCACCCCCGCCGCCTCCTCCGCCGCGCCCAGCCTTGGGGCGGCGGCCCTTCCCCGAACGGACCTGCGCTGCAGCAGCAGTCTCAGCCACTGCGGCAGAGCCGTCGGAGAAGGTACACTGAGCGGGGGCACAACCCTGAAAGATAGGGACCGGCATGGCACCGCTCGCCTGGGCGATGGAGCGGTGACGGGTCTCTATCACAGTCAGGGTGTCTACAAAGTCAGTGAGGGTGAGGTCTGCGGGGTGAACGCTAAGAAAGCGGTCGCGGGCGACAGCAAGGCGGTCAGGGAGGCGGGTGGCAAGCAGATAGAGGGTAGAGGTAATGGGCGGCTGGTGGGCTCTAAGCTGGGCGTCAGTGCAGGCAGCGCGCCAGGTCTCATCTATTGAGCGCAGGTGGGCAGCGAGGTCAGAGACAGTGGGGAAAGATGCAAGGTCAGGAAAGAGCATCGGAAGGATCAGGCGACCCACCGAGGCAGCCGGAGGGGTGGAATAGCGCTTGATCACAGCATTTAAGTATGCCTGAGCAGTAGTGAGAGACCTAAAGCGAGGACGCTCGGATGGGGGAAGGGCGTTGCTAATGGCAAGCTGGGCAACAGCATCGCGAGAAAGCCAGACAGAGCGCGCACGGGCAGTGGCAGCAGTAGACTCACGCTCAGTGGGTGTGGGGTCAGCGGGCAGGATAGCAGGGGGGTCTGGGCAGGGGAGCGTACCGTCAAGGTGTGCGGAAAGCGGTTCACCATCCTGCCGCTGACCAGTGAGTTGGCGACGGAGGTCGGCAAGCCACGCCTCGAACTCTAGGGGCTGACCTTCAGCGTCAAAGCGAAGCTCCGCCGCCATCAGGAACAGTCCAGTGCGGTGCAGGGCAGTGCAGTGCGGTGCAGTGCGGTGAAGTGCGGTGCAGGGCGGTGCAGTGCGGTGCAGTACGGTGCAGTGCGGTGCAGTGCGGTACAGTGCGGTGCAGTGCGGTGTAGTGCGGTGCAGTGCGGTGCAGTGCGGTTCAGTGCGGTACAGTGCGATGCAGTGCGGTGCAGTGCGGTGTAGTGCGGTGTAGTGCGGTGCCAGGCAGTACAGTGTGGTGCGGGGCGGCACAGGGCAGGGCGGGGTGGGGGGGGGGGGAACCGTACCAGTGCGGAGGACGGGGCCGGGGCTGGCCCGACGGGCCGGGCGGGCGCGACGGGACCGGGCTGGTGCGACAGGGCCGGGACGGGGCGACGGGCCGAGCGGGCGCGACGGGGCCGGGCTGGGGCGACGGGGCCGGGCGAGTGCGGCAGGGCCGGGCCGGTGCGACGGGGCCGGGCGAGCGGGACGGCGGCCGGGCGGGTGCGACGGGGCCGGGCAGGGTGCGACGGGGCCGGGCAGGTGCGACGGGGCCGGACGACTGCGACGGGGCCAGGCAAGGGCGACGGGCCAGGCGCTGCGACGGGGCCGGGCGGGCGCGACGGGGCCAGGCGGCTGCGACGGGGCCGGGCAGGGTGCGACGGGGCCGGGCAGGTGCGACGGGGCCGGACGGCTGCGACGGGGCCAGACAAGGGCGACGGGGCCAGGCGGCTGCGACGGGGCCGGGCGGGCGCGACGGGGCCAGGCGGCTGCGACGGGGCCGGGCGGGCGCGACGGGGCCGGGCGGGTGCGACGGCGCCGGGCGGGCGCGACGGGGCCGGGCGGCTGCGACGGCACCGGGCGGGCGCGACGGGGCCGGGCGGCTGCGACGGGGTCGGGCAGGGTGCGACGGGGCCCAGGAGGGGCGCTACAGGGCCCAGGGAGGGCGCAATGGGGCCCAGTAGGGGCGCTACGGAGGGACGGAGGGGCGCGACGGGGCCTTGGAGGGGCGGGACGGGGCCCAGGAGGGGCGCGACAGAGCCCAGGAGGGGCGCTACGGGGCCTGGGAGGAGCGCGACGGGGCCCAGGAGGGGCGCTAGGGGGCCTGGGTCGCGCCCTCCTGGCCCCGTAGCGCCCTCCTGGCCCCCGTCGCGCCCTCCAGGCCCCGTTGCGCCCTCCTGGCACCGTAGCGTCCTCCAGGCCCCTGTCGCGCCCTCCTGGCCCTGTCGCGCCCTCCTGGCCCCAGTCGTGCCCTCCAGGCCCCGTCGCGCCCTCCTGGCCCTCGTCGCGCTCGCCTGGCCCCACCGCGACCGCCTGGCCCTGTCGCGCCCGCTCGGCCCCAACGCGCTCGCCTGGCCCCGCCGAGCCCGCCTGGCCCCGCCGTGCCCGCCTGAACCCCCTAGCGCCCGCCTGGTCTGCTGCGCGCGCCGGCCCCTCCTAGCGCCTACCCGGCTCCTCCTAGCCCCCGCCCGGCCCCTCCTAGCGCCCGCCCGGCCCCTCCTAGTGTCCGCCTGGCCCCTCATAGCGCTCGCCCAGCCCCACCTAGCGCTCGCCCGGCCCCACCTAGCGCCCGCCCGGCCCCACCTAGCGCTCGCCCGGCCCCACCTAGCGCTCGCCCGGCCCACCTTGCACCCGCCCGGCCCCACCTAGCGCCCGACCGGCCCCACTTAGCGCCCGCCCGGCCTTTCCTAGCGCTCGCCCAGCCTCTCCCGCAGCGCCCGCCCGGCCTCTCCTACTGCTCGCCCGGCCCCGATACGCCCGCCCGGCTCCTGCGGCCCGCATCTCCCCTTGCCCGCCTGGCTCCTGCGCCTCGTGTCGTCTGCTTGCCACGCTGGAGCGTCTGGTCGCTGTCCTATGGAGCTGTGCAGCTGTGTCATTGTGTCGCTGATTCTGCACGATGGCTGACTTCGTCCTCCGCCTGGACGCGGAGGGCCACGCGTTCGACTTCGCCGCCTGGCTGTCCGACCTCCGCCGTCACCTTACAGGTCAGCGTCAGGATGGGCACTCCTTGGTTGTCCATGTTGATGGATTGCTCCCCCGCCCCCCTGCACCTGCTCCCCTCCCAGCTGACCCCACCTCTACTGAGCGTGAGGTTTTCTCTGCTTCTGCACTTGCCTGTGCAATCTGGGACTCTCGCGATGCAGTTGCTCAGGTCGCTCTTAATCACGCCCTCCCTGTGCCTGAGCGTTCGTGTTTCGCTACAGTAGAAACGGCCAAGGCTTACCTAGATGCTGTTGTTGCTCGCTATTCAATGCCTGCCTCCGCTACTGCAGGCCGCCTGCTCTTTCCTATGCTTTTCCCAGACCTTGCTTCCTTCCCTA